TATCTATGTGACGATATATACATATGTTTACATGAATTCATATATAGTGTGACAATATATATCGTCAAACAGAACTGCCCGGTAAACCGTAGGGGCAGAGAGGGAGGGAGAAGAGGACAACAAACGAACGAGGGGCTGTGACAAACTGTTTCGTCGGAGTTTCACGGACTTATCAGGAGGCCGAACCCTCAACAGTCTGCAGAATCCCCTAACCTGATGATTACACTAAAGTGATAATCCACTTTAACCCTGGTTGTGGTTAAGCATCAACGACTGCCCGACAACTGATACCCCTCTTGAGGTGGTGGGGACCACCAACCACTGCCCTCAAGGTACCTGTGACGAAAATCGATGCAGATTATCACTCACCCACACCAGATGGAACAGACTGTCGGTTCACACCCCATCACAAGCCATCAAAACACCGACGAAACAAAGAAAGGTCTATCACAGCTATAAATACACAATCCAGACACGCCGCTGGCACTAGAGGCACAGCATGGCCGCGTAGCGACGGCCCCAACCACAGACCCTCAACCTGACCGGAGAAAACCGTAGCACGGTGCTATCGAAGTCGTGGTATCTATCGTCAAACAGAACTGCGTTCGGTAAACCGAAGGCAGAGAGGGAGGGAGAAGAGAAGAGGACAACAAACGAGGGGCTGTGACATAAATCGAGAAATGGTCAAAAAAAAAAAAAAAAAAAAAAAAAAAACTCCGACGAAACAGTTTGTCAAAGCCCCTCGTTTGTTGTCCTCTTCTCCCTCCCTCTCTGCCAACGGTTTACCGGGCAGCTCTGTTTGACGATATATATATATCGTCAAACAGAGCTATTCACAGTGTGACAATATATATCGTCACACGGTGTATCGGAGCGCGAAGGCGAAGAAAACAAAACAGAAAAAGGAAAGAAGCAAGGAAGGAAAGCTCCGCCTGTTCATCACCTCTTACGTACAAGGCCGGCCAAGGACGGCTGCTCTTGAAAAGGGAGCCCGGTGAAAGAGATCCTGAAGTTATGGGGCTAGAGTTTCTGCCTGAGTGCCCACTACCCATACCTCTCTCTCTCTCTCTCTCTCTCTCTCTCTCTCTCTCTCTCTCTCTCTCCCCGCTCCCCTCCTCTCTCTCTCCCCCTTGCCTGCAGGTGTGAAGATCTTGTCGCAGATTCTAATGGATTTTGTACTTAAGCGGCCCCCCAAAAAACAAAAAAACAAAAGACAAAAAAAACTTAAGCGGCCTGCTCCTCGTCTTTGTTTTATGTTGGGCCTCCCTCCACTACTCACCACATGCACAAAATACAAAAAATATGGCGGTGTATCTTCCCCATTTTCAAGCGGAAGATTCATTCTCGTTTTGCTCATTTGGTGCGCAATGGAGCTAGGCCCGTTACCTCGAACCGGCGTTCTTTTTGGCCTTTTGTAACTCCGAAGCAATTAATTTTTTCTTCAATTTTTTTTTTTTTAAACAAATCTTTCCATTCTCATCGAAACATAAAGGACGAGGCCGGGGACCTCACAATTCAACCCGGAGTTATCCCGGCAGCATCAGCCGGTTTCGCTTACGGCCCCAGCCAAACTGGGAACCCTGCTACAGGAGCACTAAGGTAGCATAACACAACGATACATCCACAAACGAGCCACAACTAAAACCAAACCTTAACTCTACACGAACCTTACCAATTGTTAACTACAACTTTGAAAGTTGATTACTTCCTAAGCATTGAACATAGAGCGTACTACTACCTTCTTCCCCCGAATACAACGTACGGTCATTATGGCTTGAGGCATCTTTCAGTCTAGATACAGCTATAATGACCGTACGTTGTATTCGGGGGAAGAAGGTAGATGCCTACCATGACGACCAGGTCTATGCCACCCAGGGGGAACATTCTGTTCCATGATCCTAGACACGCTCCTAATGGACCACTGCGTCCCTAAATAACCGAGTGTCCTGGTTCCGAAGCAAGTAATTAAAAAAGTACTTAGCCGCAAAATGAAAACAAAAGGAAATTTACCAGCTGGCCTAGGTCGGTTGGTACACCCGTGAATTGTTGAAATACAGACCTGAGCTCAAACTCCACAGGAAGCAGATGAAGCAGATGAGTGAAATACTGCAAATTTGAATTCCCTAGGGCCGGGCAGTTCAAATGGATGATATCTCAAGGCCGTTGCCTTGAAAGAAAAAAAAAAGAGAAAGAAAAGGGAGGGAAAGGAGGGAAAAAACAAAAAGAAAAACAAAAAGAAAAGAAGTGAAGTAACGACTTGGCCAGCAATTTAGGTGACAGATTCGCTCGAGAGGGTCTGGAACGAAATCCGTTGGTTGGACGAGGAGTACGTTGAACCTGGTCCAAATTGTACACGCACGCATCTCCTTCGCTTGGCGAACAGATGCCTTATCCATTGGTAAGGGCCATGGAGATTGAATTTGTCGAATACCGACAACTGTTGGGAGGTAAATTACTGGATGAATTTGACCATCATTGTGGCCAGATTCAGTAGCAACAACTGCTGTGAGGGAATCTATAGGGTGAAACTCCTTGGGGGATGTGCACGCGCTTGGGACTATTGGAATTGTATCTGGCCGCAGTGATGGGCAAATTCATTCAAGAAAGCCGCAGTGAGAGTAATTAGCGACTGAATTTGGCCCTGGTGATGGTCAAATTCATCCAGAAAGGCCCAGTACGAATACCCCCTAGGGGTGTTTTCACACAGAAAACTGGCCTCAGTGATGTTCAAACTGGTCTAGGAAAGGCTCAGTGCGAGTATCCGGTTAGTTAATTTGGGACTGAATCTGGTTCAGGTGACAGTCAAATTCATCCAGGAAACACTCAGTGCGACTAACCCCTTAGTAATAATGATCATATCCCTCCTTTCCCTCCTCATCCAGGAAACACTCAGTCCGACTAACCCCTTAGTAATAATGATCATATCCCTCCTTTCCCTCCTCTGTACTTTCCCTCTTCGTCTCGTCCTTCCCCTTCCTCCTCCTACTCTCCCTCCTCCTCTAACTCCATCTCTTTCTCCCTCCCTACCCTCCCTCCTTTTCGGCTTTCGCCTCCCCCTCTCTTCCTGCTGTTCCTTTTCCCCCTCCTCCTCGTCCTCCTCCCCCTCGTTCCCATTGTCCTCGTCCTTCTTCCCCATTCTGTCTTCCCCCACCCACTCGTCTTCCGACCTTCTCCTTCTCCTCATCCTCCAGTACTCGCTTTCTTGTGTTTGCCACATATTGTTGTCGCTGTTCCGTTTTCACGTAAATTATGTATGTATTTGTTGTCTTCTCCCGCCTTACATGTTCAACCTACGGTTCTCTATCCCCAATGTTTCTTGCCTTCCCCCTCCGCCCCCCCCCCCGCCTTGCCGGGCATGCTTAGCAAGTAATAGCAGCATAGGCCACTTGATCCTCGTTGTCCTCGTGTTCCTCTTCCTCATCCTCCTCCTCGTCGCCGGCCTCCCCTTCCTCTTCCTCCTCCTCCACCTCCTCCTCTCCCTCCTCCCCCTCCTCCCCCTCCTCCCCCTCCTCTTCCTCCCCCTCCGCCACCCCCTTCTCCTCCACCCGTATTGTTGCACTTCCCCTCATCAAATCCTTTGATCCCCCCACCTCTTCCTCTTCTCCCAATCCCATCATCATATCCCATCGTCATGTCGCTTCTTCTCCCTTTTGCGATCACGGTAAGGAAAGAAAAATGAAACCACCATAGCCTGTTTCTGCCCCCTTTCTCGATTCCTGGCACCATCATGATCTTACCTTGTCCTGGCAGAATGTGTTCCTTATCTTTCATCTTCATCGTCGTCTTCATCGTCACTTCATCAGTCAGCATTGTCATGGTGGGTCTCTCTCTCTCTCTCTCTCTCTCTCTCTCTCTCTCTCTCTCTCGTGCGCGCGGACTCACACTTCATGTGTTCATGGGAGCCACCCCCCAAAAAGCATGACTGTGCCAGACTGTTTCGTTGGACTTTCACCAACTCATCAGGAGGTTGAACCCGACAGTCTGCCCACAATGCAGTTGCGTGTGGGTGTGTGCATGCATGTGCATGTGTGTTTGTGCGGACGGCCGGATGGGCGGGGCCATGAATGCGTGTTGTCAAGTTCCCTATACACCACGTCGCTGCGCCGCCAAAGATAGAGCTTCTGCTGCCGCCCTATACACCACGTTGCTGTGCTGCCAAAGATAGGGCCGATCGTCACGCCCAGTATTCAGTGGGTGCAACGATCCAGGCCGCCTGTGGTCCTACTGGGACGATGGCTAGGATCGTCCTGTGATCTTAAGACTTTAAGATCGCAGGATGATCCAGGCCGTTCAGCAGGCCTGACGGTCCAGATTTTTGCACGATCTTAAAGTCTTAAAGTCTTAAGATCGTGCGAAATCTGGACCTTCGGGCCGGTAGGACCGCGGGTGGCCCGGATCGGCCAATTCTCACGTTAGCGATTTCTATAAGTGTAGGGATTGATGTTGACATGTTAAATAACGAATACTTTTCAAAAGGCGCAATCCTTCCCCCTGTTTCTTTTCGTCCCCCTTTCTCTTGTCACAGATACACACACACAGCTTTACTTCTTACCTTCTCTTATCAGCGGGAGGGTGATAAGATGGACAAGAGGAAGAAGATGGATATGATGGGGGGGGGGGGGGAAGATGGACGAGATGAAGATATTAATTGATAATAAGGCGGCCTGAAAGGTTCTCCTGTCCAGATTTGACAGGTATTTGAATTGGTTTGGCTTAAACCACCAGTACATCCGAAAAAGGAGATTGAGCCTCTCCTAAAAAATAGGAGGCCATGGACATGGACGTTGATAAAGTGAATGGGCGGTTCATGGCCTCCTATTTTTTAGGAGAGGCTCAATCTCCTTTTTCGGATGTACTGGTGGTTTAAAAGAATTAGCCTTTTTACTTGTTTTTTTAGTATTAAAAAAAGGACAAAAAAGAATATAAGATGTGGATAAGATGAAAAAAGAAAGATGGATAAGATGATTGACAAATTTATCTTGCGTTGGATAACGTGACAGCCCGCTTGTGCAGGAGAGATATCTCGCCCGGAGCTCGCCGAAGCTCAGATTGTAGAAATCAAGGTGCGTTTTGTACGTGAGTGTGTGGTTGTTTTTCGAGTGGTTGGCTCTTCCCCCCCCTTCCCTCCCCTTCTTCCGCCTCCCTGGCCCTCCCCCTTCTCCACATCCTTCCCCTCTCCTCCCCTCCCCTCGTTTCTGAAAAAGGAAAAAAAACTCCTTCCCTTCTCCAAAGGACAGTGCATTCAGTGCCTACGGCTCAGGGGTTCACACTATATCGTCATCCCAAGCAGGAATGTCTGGTGTGTAGGCATTGAGGGGTGCACGGCATGTGTCAACATGTATGGTTTCTCACCCTGCTGATTGTCCGCATGCATTATACTTTGTTTGCATCACTTGCAGGTTCCAGCATATAGCCAGATTTTGTCTTTTCTTTGATGATGTTCAAGGAAAATAAGTCTAAATAGTAAATATACTTTGTTTGCATCACTTGCAGGTTCCAGCATATAGCCAGATTTTGTCTTTTCTTTGATGCTGTTCAAGGAAAATAAGTCTAAATAGTAAATAAGGTTACAATACCCCTTTGTGGAGGAATTTTGCCTGTTCATGTTATTGGCGAAATTTGGTTTTGCTTTGGCCCAATCGCTGCTGTGTTCCTGCTTGGAATGTACCAACTGGTTGCAGAACCGACCAGATTCGTAATAGCATAGGACAAGAATAGCACCAGTGGGGCCTGCACCTCATATTCAAATCATCGATGCAACGAATGAAGACGGGTTGAGCGGTAGAGTGGTAGAGTTTTGTATCGAGCTCATGAATTAAAAAAAAAAGGGCAGGTAGACTGATGTAGTGTTTTAGCGGGAAGGCTGACTACCGTGTTGGTAGGTATACAATGCATTGTCATCATAGCTGTATTTAGGGCAACTTTTAGTCCAGATACAGCATTAATGACTGTGCGTTCTATTTTGGCGAAGAGGGTAGTAGGGGGAGGATCTAGGAAAGGAAGGAGATGAAAGGAGAGGGGGGGTGGG